ATGTTGTAGGGTTGTTAACCAATGTCATAAAACAACATGTGTACTACTGTTTCATGAGAAACTATTTGTTCTGTAAGCCTTCACCTGAAGTACAATGAAATATTAAAAAAAAAAAAAAAGCTCCAAGTCTACTAGGTGTGGCAGAGAAGAGGGGAGAAGGTGTTTGAGAGAGGGCACAGAGTGTGCCAAGACCAAGAAGGGCGGGACAGCGAGTCTTGTGTGTGGTTATAAGGTAGGATGTAGAATGAGAGTGGCCAGAGATGAGGCTGGGGAGATGAGAGCAGGGGCAGGCCTTGAAGAGCCATGAGAAACCCCCACCCTGCCCCGATGTCTCCTGACACCCCTCCAGACTACGGAGATTGGACTGGATCCTGGAGGTAAACGTAGTCACTGAAGGGTTTTAATCACGGAGGGCCATGATCAAATTTGTGGTTCAGAACGATCCCTGTGAGTTTCTTACGAGCTAGGATAGTGTCTCATCCATCTTTGCAACAACAGCATCTAACACAGTGCCTGGCACACGGTAGGCCCTGGAGAAATGTGTGCTGAACTAATGAGTGCACGCTGGGACCAGAACAGCCTGGGGTTGGGGGTGGGAGTGGGGTGGGAATTGGGTCTTCTGACGATGGAGTCCCTGAGATTCCACGTTTAAAGTGACAAAGCTTCGCTCCGCCTTCGCCCCGCGGGGTGTCCCGCAGGTGTCCTCCCTGACAATGCTGGCGCTGCTGTGTTCCTGCCTGCTCCTGGTGGCCCGCGTCTCCACGGATACGGACGCGGTGGAGCCCAGCTCCAACACCGCAGAGCAAATCCGAGACATGCACGTCAAAGTGACCGAGATCTGGAAGGAGCTCACGCAGCCGGGGGCGACCGAATGCAAGACGGGAGCCGCGCTCCACGCCACCTGCAGCGTACAGCCATCCGCCTCGCTAAACGCCGAGCAGCCCCGGGTCACTGGCCTCGTCCTCTTCCGGCAGCTCGCGCCCGGCGTCAAGCTTGAGGCCTTCTTCGACCTGAAAGGCTTCCCCACCGAGCACAACGGCTCGAGCCGCGCCATCCACGTGCACCAGTTCGGGGACGTGAGCCAGGGCTGCGAGGCCACCGGGCCCCACTACAACCCGCTGGGCGTGCCGCATCCGCAGCACCCGGGCGACTTCGGCAACTTCGTGGTCCGCGACGGCCGCGTCTGGAAGCACCGCCCGGGCCTCGCTGCCTCGCTCATCGGTCCCCATTCGATCGTGGGCCGCGCCCTGGTGGTCCATGCGCTCGAGGATGACCTGGGCCGTGGTGGCAACCAGGCCAGCGTGGAGAATGGCAACGCGGGCCGCCGACTGGCTTGCTGCGTGGTAGGCGTGTGCGGGCCCGACCCGTGGGCGCGTCAGATGCAGGAGCACAACGAGCGCAAGAAGCGGCGGCGCGAGAGCGAGTGCAAGGCTGCCTGAGCGCCTCGGCCCTGCAGGAGCCGGGAGATCGTCCTCTCCGTGCTCCTAGAGACCCTCTCCGCGCCCTGAGATTCCCTTTGCGCAGAGACCTCTCTCTGCCTTGAGTTCCCTCCATGCGCCCTGAGACCCCTCTTCACCCTGAGACCCCTTTCACCCTGAGGTCCCCTCCTCGCTGTGGCCGAGGTCTCCTCTTGACCCCCTAAACTCCCTCCGTCCGAGGTCTCCCCCAAGTATGCTGAGGCACCCCCCTCCATCCTGAGCCACCACCTCCCACCCTAGGTGCCCTAAGGGTCCCAGAATAGTGAAGTACCCCATCCTCCCTGAGGGCCTCCTAGACACCCCGTGTTCCTGTTCCATCCTGACCCCCATGAGCCCTGAGACCTCGCTCTGCCCTGAGGACCCGCTCCCTCCCACCACTGGCCTTTAGGTTCCTCCTAGGTGCTGCGAGACTCCTCCTAAGGCTCCCAAGGGTCCCCCTCTCCCGGTCACCACCGCTCTTGGGCTGCTGGCCCATTCTTGCAGCCAGAGGTTAGGCTCCTAGCCCTGCACCCTCAGCTGTTTTCGGCCACCCGTGGAGAGCTGCTCCTTCGGGGTTGCAGTCTTGGTGTTGCATATTAAAAACTAAGCAATTCAGTCCTGCGCCAGGACCTGGGTTACTTGTTTTGTTTGTTTGAGGCTTCTCTCTGGGGCTCAGCTATTTTTTGGAGATGCCAAAGATCTTTCCCAAATCCCCGCAGAACGGACTTACCCTACACCCCAACACTACCCGTTTACTGGCAACAATATTCAGCCTTGTTTTGACTCCAAGGTGAAGAAGACCAGAATCACTCGGGGGAATAAAATAAAAAAGAAAGGAAAGAAAGCAGCTTCCTGGATTACATCCAAGAGCGGTAGGGTTCAAAGGCAATCTATTTGCAATAAGCTTCCCTGGTGATTGTGATGCTGGCGCAGCTGGCTTCGGAGGGAATGAAGTGCAGGAACTTATCTTGGCCTGTGGCTTCTCACCTTTGCCTCAAGTGCAGCCTTAGAGGTCCACTTCCCAGATGGCGGAGACAGGGTCATGAAGCAGTGTGACTGGGGACATTCCAGGGAGATTGGCGTTGGTATCTGGAGTTGTCTTCGTTCTCCACAACTAGGACAATGCTTTTCTTGACGAAAAGGCAGTTCCAAGTAGTGGGGACCAAAGGTGGTTAATTTTGATTAAGATTTGTTTGGGTTCAGCCTCCCTTTTTAAAAATTCTAATCTATACATGGACTAGAATAGTCCTGAATATACATCTTCATTTTATTGAATAACTTTGTAACCCCCTGGGATAGACCCAGGTGCCCCTGGCTGGCACAATCAGTTGAGCACTGTACTACTAACTGAAAGTTTAGCAGTTAGAACGCACCCAGAGGCACCTTCAAAGAAAGGCCTGGCAATCTGTTTCCGAAAGGTCACAGTCTTGAGAACTCTATAGAACGCAGTTCTACTCTGCACACATGGGTCACCATGAGTCAGAATCTACTGGATGGCGACTGGTCTGGTTTTTTTTTTTTTTTTTTTTTTGGTGGGGTAGACTCATTTGCGAGGTGTGGTCTTTCCACCCTGGTTTCTCTGAGATGGAGTCCCTGGGTGGTGCAAATGGTTAGCATGCTCTGCTGCTAACCAAAGGTTGGACCCTGAGTCTACTGAGAAGCACTTCTGAAAAGAGGTCTGATGATCTACTTCCAAAAACAATGAGCCACTGAAAACCCTATGGAGCACAGTTCTACTCTGATACACAGGGGGGTCACCATGAGTTGGAAATTACTTGCTGGCAACTGGTTGTTGTTTTCCTTCTTTCTTGGAGGCAGTGACTCAAACTGAACCTCAGCCAGAAACCTGTCCTCAGTGGTTATTTTTACCTCTAACTAGGACTTAACTCGTTATTTTAAAATCTTTCCTTGAACCCAAGCGACAACTGGAGAGAAAGGCTATTGCTTGGTGACTGTTTCACCAATTGTTTTGAAACATACTGGTTTGGAATATTAACTTGAACCGTACAGGTCAGCACTGAAAGGGCGCTAACAAGCCAAGTCTTTAAATATTCTGATCTCAATAGACGTGTTTGCCCATCCCCACAATTAAAAGTTGTGAAAATGAAGCTGCAATTACACCGGGACATACGGGGGAGAGGAATAAAATGCCAGCCCCCCAACCCCCATCTTCTACTCTGCTGCCCAGATTATAAATTACTTCAGGACCATCAAGGAGGGTTCTGACGTACTTTTCAGAAGGAAGTTGGTGCTTCTCATTGCTTTTCTTCAGTTCTTGATTTCTCTCTTCACTGCCCTTGGCCCTGCTAGACAGAGCTGAAGAGATACTCCTGCAGTCCCCATCAGCTCTCTTATGCCCTGAATCCAGCAGAATCTCACCCTCCCATTTCTGTTCTGTCAGTTAATAGGAATGGGATTGATAAACGGCATCACGGAGCTCCAGAGAGCCAAAAGGAAGAGAGGAAACAATAGGATGGTAAATTATAGTTCAGTGGTGGTGCAGTGGTTAAAGCACTTAACTGCTAACAGAAGGATCAGTGGTTGGAACCCACCATCCACTCCTCAGGAGAAAGATGTGGCAGTCTGCTTCTGCAAAGATTTCAGCCTAGGAAACCCTATGGAGCAGTTCTATTCTGTCCTACAGAGTTGCTATGAGTCAGAATCAACTCCATGGCAATGGGTTAAGGGTAAGTCAAAAGGAGTCCCTAAGTGGTGCAAATGGTAAAGCGCTTAACAACTAACCAAAGGTTGGTGGTCAACTCACCCAGAGGCACCACAGAAGAAAGGCCTGGTGATCTGCTTCCAAAAAATCACAGCCATGAAAACCCTATGGAGTGCAGTTCTACTCTGACACACCTGGGATCGCCATGAGTTGGAATCAACTCAATGGCAGCTGGTACTGGTAAGGGCAAAGGAATGCATATAACATGGTGGTCAAGAGCTCAGACTCAGATAGAAAGGCTGGTTTGAATCCCAGCTCTACCACTTAGGAGCTGTATGACCTGAACAAGTCCCTTAACCTCTCTGAGCCTAAGTTTTACCTTCTGTAAAATAAAACCATTTCACTGGATTGTTTTGAGGATTAAATCAAGTGTATTTATAGATTAAATCAAGTGTATTTATAGATTAAATCAAGTGTATTCATGAAAAGTGTGCAGCATAGCATATGCATCTAATAAGATTTAGATGTCAGCTCTAATTAATTACAATGGCTAAAGTCAGAAAAATCACTATCTACTAATGGAGTGGGCTACTTTGTAAGGTAGTGGGTGTCCCTGAGTGGTGCAAACGGTTAACATACTTTGCTGTTAACTGTAAGGCTGGAAGTTTGAGTCCACCCAGAGGTGCCTTGGAAGAAAGACCTGGCAATCTACTTCTGAAAAATCAGCCATTGCAAAACCCTATGGAGCACAGTTCTACTCTGGCACACATGGGATCGCCATAAGTCTGAATTGACTTGATGGCACGTGGTAAGCTAGTGAGTGTCATGCAACTAGAAGGAATCAAGCAAACCTCTTAGATTTGTAGGAGGGGTTTCTGCATCCGTTGAGCAGCTGGATGATATGAACTCTGTGATTTCAGCTCGGAGACTGATTACTTGCCGGAGGGACCTAAGGGGAAGGAAAGCTTGTGGGCCATAACTGGCAAGCATCTGGATCTCGGCACAGAACCTTCCAAGTGTCACCAAGCCCGCTATTGGACCCCACTTGGCCCCTGGGGACTATTTTTACTTCTTTCATCTTACAGATCTATTTTCTTAATCTCCTTGTATTTGCTATTTTGACTTCCCAGCCAGCTTGCTAATCAGTTTGCCTGTTTGACTCACAGGGTTTGCATTTGTCACTGGGACTTAAACACACAGTTGTTATGATTTCTTTTTTGTAAAATTCGAAGTGTTTGATGCAATGACTCTACCTAGACACAGCTGGTAAAGTGAGAAGAATGCTCAAGTTTGCATGGTTTAAACACAATGTAGACAATAATTACAAATGCTATCTTTAGATGTTTAGGATAAGCTTTTTCTCAGAATTTCAGTGAATTTTTTTCTGAGTGGGGCTTTTCAGGGCATATATACAGAAATACTAAAAATGCAAGAAAATAGAGCAAAGCAGCCAGTGCTTTGGTCAACTTGAAAGACTGTGGGAAATAAACCAAGTGATTTTAGATCCACTGTTTTTGACTGAATACATAAAATCTTTACATTCTCCATATTTTTCATGATTACCATATGATCAAAGGCGTTTAGGTGACAGATTGCAACTGATAAGTTGCTATAATATGCTAGAAGAAATGCGCGCCTATGCTCGACCTGCAGTGAGGGTGAATAGGACAGAACGATGCAAATAATAAAGACAATTAATCATCTACATTAGGAAAAGTACCCAGAAACAGTAACAAAAAAAAAGATATACTTATGCTACATGGTGATCACAGAATTCAAATAAATAGAAGTTACTTCTTTCTTTAAATAAAACTACAAAATATAGGCTAGTTTAAAAAAAAGAAAAAAGCCAATTGTTCTCAGTTTAATAGGCTATTGCTGGTCTTGGCTAAGATCCCAAAATATATTTCTGAACTCACATAGACTCCAGCGAGTCAAACTTTTCAGTATGGTGCAAATTCTCCCTCTGCATTTAAAAAAAAAACACAAAAAACTCATTTAGTAAAGAAATGATATGATATGTACGGCAGCACATTTATATCTATCATTTTAAATTGCCTTCATGCTGTATCAACTTGTTTTGTTTTCGTGAGCAACCCGAATATCAAGAGATGGGACTTTCTTATTTTTTCTGCTTCTCATTTCTAATTAGATTCACCACTGAGCTCCCAATTGCATTTCTCTGATCGTTAAAATTTTCTCTGTGCATAAAGACATCTGAAAAAAAAAAAAAAAAGGAATATTTTAAAGTAGTGAGTTGGGGGAAATCCTTTGGCTTTCTGACATCCTAACTGAAGCCATCTGAAGGTACTCTCAAAATTCTTTGGGAGGAGGATTGTTCCAAATGGAAGCTTTCAGAACAAAAGTCGAGAGACAAGGGGCACAAATAGAGATCTTTTGGCAAAGAGAGGCAGAGTAGCAAGCCATCCACAGGGCTGCAGGAAAATGATGAAGCCAAGAGAAAAAAACAAAAAAATCAAACCCATTGCTGTCGAGTCAATTTAGACTCATGGCGACCCCATGTGTTAAAGCAGAACTGCTCTATAGGGTTTTCTTGGCTGCAATCCTTATGGAAGCAGATTGCCAGGCCTTTCTTCCGCAGAGCTGCTGGCTGAGTTTGAACCACCAACCTTCAGGTAAGTAGCCGATCTCAAACCCTTTGCCCCACCCTGGGACCTGGAAGCCAGAAAATAGCCCCATTTCTTGAAGAAGCAGCAAACCAAGAAGTTCAAAGACATGCTGTGATTTTAAAGAGACAGGGAAGATGACCTCAGTCACCAAGTCAGTTGGTCTTTGAAATTCCTGACAGCAGAGCTCAAACTTTTTAAGCCACATGGCAAATTGGGATACAAATATTCAAGTATGGACAACACACTGAACAATTTACCCCAACATGTATATGCCTGATACCAGAGCCTCTTCTTTTTTAGCACTTTGGATCCGTGATGGTGGTGTGCGTTTGGGAGTGAGGGCACAGAGACAGGGATGATAGGAAACTAAATTAGCTTGTGTGAGATTGCCAACATGGAGGTGGTTCCAGCAGGGATTGAGCTAAATGCCATCAGGAGCCTCCTAGCTAGTGAGGCTTTGGGGGATAGCTGTTCAAGGCATAAAAGAGAGGTAGAAGAGAGGAGAGGAAGGTTGGCAGAGGAGGTTTGGAAAAAGGAGTTAGGGATGAGAAATGCCTGGTTTACAAAAACCAAGCCATTTCCATTGGCCTTAATTAAAAGAACAAGAAACACTCATATGTAAAAATCCACACCTAAAGGCTCTCAGGTACAGAGCGATCGAGATAAATGCAGAATTTGCAAACAAGCTTTCATTAAGAGACCTGTCAGCTATGTTTCATTTATCCAGACTGTTCTGCGTTCTGCTGGTGACTGAGCTGGAAAAATAATGGAAGGACTGACGCACCTGAATAGGTAAGCAAATGTAGGAACGTTCCAGCTACAAAATAGGACAGATCATAAAGGAGCCATGGAGGAGAAGAGATGAGACGGCATTTTTCTTAACAAATAACCATCACCTCTGCCCCCAACTCCAAACTCATCAATAACATAATATTCTGACTTTTTAAAGGGGGAAAAAAAAAAAAGACGTGGGTTTCAGAGACAACTCAGTTATTGGCATAGTTAGGACTTGAATCTATTCCTGACTCTTGTACACTTCTCAAGCCCAGATTTTGTGTTGGCATTCATATTTTAGAGGCTACGTGTCCCCAGTCCAGAGGGTGACTCTTGATGAACCGAAAGCTGTCACAGTAATTCCATCCTCCTTGCCACGGATTGGTTTAGGCATAGGCATGTGACAATTATGACCACTGAAATGTGATAGGAACTGGGTTTCTTGCTCTTAAAACACACACATGTGGAGAGAAACTTCCTTATGTCTTTGGACATAGCTGTGAAAACAGGCAATGCCTGGAGCTGCTGTCTTGCTATCACGAGAGAGAACGTAGCTGACACCAAGGCAGGCAGAGGAGAAAGGTGGAAACCCAGAACCTTGATGACTTTCTTGAATGAACCTGCCCTGGAACTGTCCTACCTCTGAAGTTCTTGTTATGCAATATAATTCACTTCCCTATTGTTTAATTTTGTTAAGTGTGACTCCCAGCCAACAGTACCCTAACGCAGGGTTATCTAGTGCAGTAGGGAAAGAATGCTGTAGGCTTTCAGAATGACTCTAAAAACGACAAATGACCAACGACAACCGCAAGTAATTGCTGAAACTCTCTTTAATGTCTTTGGAACAGAAGAGTCATGTTGGGTTGGGATGCAGAGGTGGGACAGGGTCACATGTGTACACAGGGTACTGTCATGGCTACACATGTGCCAGGATCAACTCATTGGCCCCAATTCCATCTAATAACACAGGAGTTTAAATTATCACCCCACCTTCCCACACCCCAACTCTTTGCTGTTTTCCTGACTGTGATGGAATTTACTGGAGTTTATTATAAGCCCTACTTTCCAGAAGGTGATGAATGGGCCCTAAAGACGTGCACCTGGCAGACTGTGTGTCAAAACCAGAGCTTCTGCTGGGGGAGATTGTTCTTTTTATTATTATTGTATCAAATTTGGCCGGTGGTTTCCTGTGGTGGCTCTGGCATCCTGTGCAGCAGTGCTGAACATTTGCAGACTGTTAAGGCCTAGTCTAGCAGGAACATAATTTCTGTGGCTGCTGGCTGGGGTAAGGGCTGCAGCTGCAGAAGGCACCTCCTGGGAAGGGAACTTGTAGGGGTGGACCTGAGGGGGGGAGGCTAGAACACAGAGGGGTGAATGGAGTAGCGGGGTGTGGCAACAGTGGGGGCAGATGGCATGTTCATCTCACCAGCAGCAGCAGTGAACTGACTCTGGCACGTCCCCCCATTTGCTAGATGGGGTGACCTCTAGTGAGTGGGAAGAAAGCAGCTGGAGGTCCCCCCAGTGTGTATCTGGCAAAGAACCAGGGCTTCCTGTCTGCATGTTGCTCCATTCAGAGTGAGACCGCATGAAATCTGATGGGGCTCCTACCTCTGCTGCTAGGAGAGTCACACCAGGGAATGAAATCGGGCAGGGAAGTGGCAGGGAGGCCTGGCCACCTATGTGTAGGTTTCACACCTAGGATCACAAGCCTGGTATAAACATCCTATTTTTAGCTGCTGTTGAGTCGATTCTGACTCAGGGCGACACCACCTGTGCAGAGTAGAACTGCTCCATAGGGTTTTCCAAGGCTGTGACCTTTCGGAAGCAGACTGTCGGGCCTTTCCTCCAAGGCACCTCTCGGTGGGTTCAAATCATCAACCTTTCAGCTAGTAGCCGAATGCTTAACTGTTTGCACCACCCAGGGACTAAACATCCTGTTTTTAGGATGAATTTTCAACCCCAACCACCTTGGGAGCCCCTCTCTTTTCTGCAGGAGGGTCTCTCAAAGGAGTGATTCTGTTTTCAGGGGCGGTTGGAGCTTTGGGACTTCGTATCAGGCCTTCCTGGGGAGATAGACTGAGTTCAGCTCAAAGGGCTATTGTTTAATGATCCTTCAGTTTTCTGCAGTGCCAGATGCTGCCTAGAAAAGCTAATTTTTATTCCAAAGAACCAAGTGGGGGTGAACACTCCCTCCTTTTCCACTCCTGGACCTTGTACTTGGCTCCATTGTTCTTAAAACCAGTTGCTGTTGAATCAACTTTGACTCAAGGTGCCCCCATGTGTGTCAGAGCAGAACTGTGCTCCATAGGGCTTTCAGTGGCTGATTTTTTAGAAGCAGATCACCAGGCCTTTCTTCTGAGGCACCTCTGGGTGGACCCAAACCACCAATCTTCCAGTTAGCAGCTGAATGTGTTAACCGTTTGCACCACCCAGGACTCCACTGGTCTCCTTACTATGCTGTAATGAAATTATTTTGTTTTCCCATCTCTCTGCCCTCTAGGGCCATGAACTCTGTGTCTTGTCTTTAAAATACCAGCACCTGGCACAGAGGAGGCAGCCATAACATTGTACTGAATGTGTGAAGGTTCAAGATTTCAGGTGGTTTGGGAAAACTGGATTGGCCCTAAGCAGCTGTATCTTTCCAAACCCCAAAACTCCTTGCTGTTGAGTCGATTCCGAATCACAGTGCCTCTACAGGACAGAGTAGAACTGCCCCATAGGGTTTCCACGGAGCAGCTTGTGGATTCGAACTGCCGACATTTTGGTTAGCAGCTGAGCTCTTAACCACTGCGCCACCAGAGCCTTCCAAACCCCAAATGGCCCTAAAGTCCTATATGCATCACAGGTTGAAAGGCAAGAACCAGCCTTTCCAGGTTCTACCTCTCATCTTCAGCCAACGAATACCCTGTGGATCACAGTGGTCCAATTCGCAACGAGTCATGGGGATGGCGCAGGACTGGACAGCATTTCCTTCCATTATTCGTGGAGTTGCCACGAGTCAGGAGCCGATTCGACAGCAGGGCAGCTAACAACACCCACCTCTCCTCTCATCTTGGAAATAAAAACTCAAAACACCACTGGGAGTTCCCTTCTCCCCTCCCCAACCAATCATGCTAGATCAATTAATCCTCCAGAATTACAGGCTGGAAAACCCAGCTCTTGCAGTCAGCAGGCAGGCCTCAACAGGGGCTGTGGATTTCACTCCAGAAGCCCAACTTCTGAAGCCTGCTCCGGGGCCATGACAGACAGTGCTGTAGGCAGGCTGCCAAACACACCCAGACCAGCACGTCCTCCAGGGCCCTGATAGGATGAAGTGTAACAGGGCCCTCTGGACCCACTGTGCTCAATTACACCTTTCTCTCCAGCCGCCAAACTGTTACAAAGATAGGACCTGATTAAAAACCCCATCGTTTCAAGCTCTTCCCATACTTTTGATCGACAGCATTAAGCGCTAGTAGAAAAGCATCTTATCTCTAATATAACAAACGCTGACAAGAAAAGACGGATGTGGAGAACCAGCCATATGGCGAGTGTGATTCCCGGACCTCGCCATGTTCACACAGCAGTGTATCTTCGGTAGAAAGAGATGACACGGAGAAGCTTGAGGACGCGCATTTAATAAATCAAACTGTACTGGCGTCGTGAGAATATTCACAGTTTGCAACAGGACCGGGGTGTTTCCTCACTGGCAGACTCGGAGGTGTGTTAGGAGGAGACTTCTGTGTGGTGTTCTGACGCTTCATTCTCTCCTGTCCCAGGTGCCTTCAATATGTCATGTCCAACCCTTTTCCCCAACATGTCTTCATGGTGCTCCTCGGACCTCCACCCTTTGGGGTCCTGTTGCCATCTTCCAGTGTGGGATCTCTGGGTGCTGGCCAGCTGGCCTCAGAGGAGTTCAGGCAAGATTTGGGGAGCTCTCCCCGGGAGGCCAGGCCCAGCAGGGATGGCCCCAACTCGTTCTGCTGACCCTCCGTGGGACTCTCAGGGCTCTCTCTTCTGTCCCCTTCTGGCTCTGCAGCTGCCTGTTCCTTTGTCAGTTTAATTATTTCCCTTCCAAGCCTGTTCACTTCTTCCTCAGAAGGTAACTGGGGTAATGAAGGATGAAACTGCTTGTGTTGGTTCCCGGGGTTCTGATTTGCTGGGCAGTTGACAGCGAGCCTCCCAGCATCCTCTGGTGCTGTCAACACCTCAGCTGCAGCACACCTTTCATCTTGTTCTTGCTTTTGAACCTCCCCTGAAAACAGAACCGGGACAGCATCAAACCTCTGGCAGGAAGTCAGCTCACACTTCCCCTCTCCTCCCAGCTCCCCTCCAGCCCACTGTCACAGGGCCTTCCCCTCCCCACCCCGTCTCCCCAGGTGCAGGGTACTTGACCCAGGGGGACACAGGACCTCAGTTAAAGAAGGAGGCCAGCTCACCAGTGATTACCACGTTTATTAGTAGAGGGAAATGAAGCATTTGGGTGGGTTCATAATTCATCTTTTTCAGGCACCTGATTATCTTCTGCTCCACTCCCTGAGGTAGGGAACGCCTGGGGCTCTTTAGTAATGCAAAGAGGTTCTGGCTGCCTTGAGGGTGAAAGGCAGGGGAGCAGTTTGGGAGAGATCTGGGGCCCTTCCCCCAGACTCTCCATTGGCACCTACCTTTGATGCAGATGCTTGATGCTTCCTCAGTTTCAAATAAAATGATATATTGTTACCCCTCAACCCCTTCGGAGCCCTGGTGGCACAGTGGTTAAGCAGTTGGCTGCAAACCAGAAGGTCGGCAGTTCGAACCCACCAGCTGCTCCTTGGAAACCTTACAGGGGAGTTCTACTCTGTCGTATAGGGTTGCTATACGTCAGAATCAACTCAATGGCAATGGGTTTGGTTTTATTTATTTATTTATTTTAAACCCCTTTACCACCATCTGCATGTCAGTTTGTCCCGCTGTGGTGGCCTGCATGTTGCGATGACGCTGGAAGCTATGCCACCGGTATTTCAAATACCAGCAGGGTCATCTATGGTGGACAGGTTTCAGCAGAGCTTCCAGACTAAGACACACTAGGAAGAAAGGCCTGGCAATCTACTTCCAAAAATCAGCCAATTAAAACCTTATGGATCACAACAGAATATTGTCTGATATAGTGGCAGAAGATGAGCCTCCTATGTTGGAAGGCACTCGAAATACACAGTGGCCACAACAATGGACTCTAGCATACGATCGGGAAGATGGCACAGGACGGGGCAACATTTCGTTCTGTTGTACGTGGGGTCGCCATAAGTTGGAGCTGACTCAATGGCAACTAACAACAACCAGCCATTCTATGCTGTCTTTAGGTTCTTACATGCACTATTCAGTTTTTCCCCTTCGTAAACATAATTGTAATAGCTAACACCGAGTGCTTTTCTGTGCTAGGCACCGCACTATGCATTTTATAGGTTTTATTCTAGAATTGTAAGTTCGTGAGAGCAGGGGCCTCATTTGACTTGTTCACAGTACTTAGTTTAGTGTCTGGCACATTCAAGAATATTGTTTAAAAGTTCATTTCTTTTTTTTTTCCTAATGAAAGTATAATCTATTTCCATAAAGATTATAGCCTAGGAAACCCTATGGGCGACTTCTACTGTCACATGGGGTTGCTATGAGTTGCAATCAATTAGATGGCACCTAACATCAATAACAACATAACATATACAGAAACAAGTGCACAAATGATAAGTATACAGCTCAATGAATTTTCACAAAGTCAACGTGCCCATGTAACTAGCAACCAGGACAAGAAATAATAAAGCATTGTCAACTCTCCACAAACCCTCCTCTCTTACAAGTCACTTCTCCCCTGCCAAAAAGGCTATGCACTATCCCGACTTCGAACACCAAAGAAGAGTTGTGCATGGTTTTGAACTTTATGTAGACAGAATCATACTGCACATAGTCTTGTGTCTGCCTTCTTTTGCTCAGCATTATGTGTGTGAGATTTAGCCATGGCATTGGGTGTAGAATTTATTTGTTCATTTGAATGCACCACGATTTTCAACAAATATTTTTTAAGTGTTGAATAAGAACAGACAATTCAAAGAAAAAGAAATACAAATGGACAGCAAACATATCAAAAGAGTCATAATATCACTCACAATTTAAGAAATCTAAATTATGAGATGCAGTTTTTCATCTACGAGATTAGCAGAAATTGAAAGGTTTGATAAAACTCAGTGTTGGTGAGGATGTGGGGAAACAGGTATTAATAAGGAAAAAAAACCCAGAAAAACCCTTCTACAGAGCATTTGGGCAACATCTATTGCAATTGTACATGCATTTACCCTTGACCCTGTAATTCCATTATTAGTAATCTACCTATGGATATTAACCCAAACAAATTAAGACATACGTACCTAGATGCTCACTACAACATTATTTTTACCAGCAAAAACCTGAAAAGAATCTGAGCACCCGTCAATAGGGGATTGTGTATAAGATACACTTGCCGAGTCGTGAAATTCCTTCTGGTGATATAAACTAAAAATTGTATGTTGCCCCTGGGGAGACCTAGGGTCAGTGGCAGAAGGGTGGAAGAAGGCTTAACTTTATACCTTTCTGTGCAGTGTGTACTTTTTAAATATGTACTTGTATGACTGACTGGTTAAAAAAATTAGTTATACAACTTAATATGGAAAGGAAAGAGGCCCTGGATAACCAAAGCATTTTTTAAGAAAAAGAACAAAGTAGGAGGCCTCACGCTACCTGATCTCAGAACCCACTATACAGCCACAGTAGTCAAAACAGCCTGGTACTGGTACAAACACAGACACATAAACTAATGGAACAGAATCGAAACCCAAATGTAAATCCATCCACCTGTGGTCTGCTTGTCTTGGCAAAGGACCAAAGTCCATTAAATAGAGAAAAGACAGTCTTTTAACAAATGGTGCTGGCAAAATTGGATGTTCATCTGTAAAAAAAAAAAAAAAAAAAAAAAACGAAACAGGACCCATACTTCACACCGTATACAAAAACTAACTCAAAATGGATCAAAGACCTAAATATAAAACCTAAAACGATAAAGATCATGGAAGAAAAAACAGGAACAACACTAGGAGCCCTAATACGTGGTATAAAGAATGCAAATCATAACTAACAATGCACAAACACTAGATGATAAACTGGGGGCTCCAAAAAATTAAACCCTTAATGCTCATCAAAAGATTTCACCAAAAGAGTAAAAGAGAACCTACAGATTGGGAAAAAAATTTTTGGCTACGTCATATCCGACAAGGGTCTAATCTCTAAAATCTATAGAATACTTCAACACCTCAATAACAAAAAGATAAATAATCCAACTAAAAAATGGCAAGGGAGATGAAGAGGCACTTCACCAAAGAAGACATTCAGGCAGCTAACAGACACATGAGGAAACACTTGTGATCATTAGCCATTAGAGAAATGCAAATCAAAACTACAATGAGATGCCATTTCACCCAACATTACTGGCATGAATCAAAAAAA